CTCTCTTTGCCACAAAGCAAATACCTGATAGTAGTCTGGAATAGTCCTACTGCTTTGTCCAGATCAAAAAAATCCAAAGCTGGTGGAGTAACAGAGAAGTTAAATGGCTAGCCCAAAGCTATTCAGTGAGTGACAGAAAAGCAATACTAAGAGACAACTCTGACCTCACAATACTCCCATCCCCTTTGCCACATTGTCTCTGTAGTACAACTTAGAATCTTGTAACAATATTGACCTAATCAAAATATCTTTATCTTTTCTTTGGACAGTCAACAATTTACCTGGCCAGGCACAATCTATGAACTCCTCCACCCTCTGGTAGGTTTTAACAAATAATAAACCCCGCCTCATCACGCAATTTGGTGCTGGTCATAAGCTAGCCATGTACTCTAGTTTCCATATGTAGTTGTTTCTCAATATTTTAGAACAAGGGAGACCAAAGTGATCAAGAGGAGATGGAGTGGGTGGGGAGCATGCAAAAGGGATTGCTTATTTACAGGAATCCACAAATATTAAATCATTTTTGTTATCTCCCTTCACTGTCCCACAAGTCAGATAAAGAAAACACCAACCTAAGGTCCAGGCTTGTACATCCATCTACCTGTAGGGCATATCTATCTGGATGTACTAGCAGTACCTCAGACTCATACAGAATTGTGCTTCTACAAAGAATAGTTTAAAATTATTTCTTCATTTAAATTAATGGATCAACTTTCTTTGAATGAAAGAGGTTGGTTATGTTGTAGATAGAATTTTTGATGCAGGTTGAGCTTGGACAAGATGATCTCTGAGAGCCTTCCATCTCAAAGTCTGTGAGTCTATGACCCTTTGAAAACCTAGTCCTTCTGATTTCAGAATCAGTTGAATGAGCTTAGAATGTTTATCCTGGAGAAGAGGTTACTTAGTTGTCTTAAAGTAGTTACAGGACAGTCCTGCAGAAGGATTGACTTTGGCTTAGTCGCAGGAGGCAGAACCAGGAGCAAGGGGGCAAAAGTTATAGGGATACAATTTTCAGCTCTATATAAGGAAAAACTTCCTAATAGAACTCTCCCAAAATGGAATAGGCTGTCTTCCAAAGGCAGTGCATTCTCCTCTCTCAAGATCTTCAAGTGAACACTGGCTGATTGTCTGTTAAGAAAGCTTTATAGGGGATTCCTATTTATGTATGGGATGCGTAGAAGGCTTCTGAGATCCCTTCTAAACTCAAGTTTCTGTAAAGAAGGAGACTAAGATATCTACTGAAAAGGGGGCAGGAGGTAGTGGAGTAGATGAAGTCCTAAAGAGAGTAAAACAGTTGGAATGGTCATGGTGCTTACTGAGATAAGGGTTCTAGTAGAAAAGAACAAAGGAATTATTGAATAGCAGCGAGGATCCAGCAAAGATTATACACCAACAATTTTGAAGTGGACGAAATCAGCTCAATTTTGTGACTTTCTCTAGGATGCTCAGCAAACCCAAGGCAAAAAAGGCAAAAGTAAATTGGGAGGAGAAGGTTGCCTACAAATTAGAATTTGTAGGTCAGGAACAGCAGAACGGGGGCCAAGGAATTCTAGCATAGTCACTATTAAACATGGAAGAGACAGACCATTTTAAAGTAATGGCAAGGCTTCATATAGAAACAGATGAAGTGAACATGGAAAGATGAACTAGGAGGATATGGAAAGGCCAAGGAATTTGAAGGATCATCCCTTTTTTCCTGGCTGGACACCACTTGGAGTATTTACAGCTACCTCAAAGTTGTTAGGAGTATTGAATGAGATAATATATGTGCTTTGAAAACTTCAAGTGTTATATAAATGTTAGCTTTACTATTATTATTCAGGATACCACATTTTAAGAGGTTTATTAAAAAGTTCAGGTGTGTTCAAAGGAGAGTGACCAGGATGGTAAGTAGTACTGGAAATGATGTCATACAATGATAAGTTGAAATGCTTAGTGACATTTAGCCTCAAAAATAGGATATTTAGAGGGAGAGTATGATCTTTGTCTTCATTTAAAGAAGTGTCCCCCAATCAGTAAATGGTCAAAGGATATAAACAGGCAGTTTTCAGATGAAGAAATTAAAGGTATCTATAGTCATATGGAAAAAAAAATGTTCTAACTCACTATTTATTAAAGAAATGCAAATTAAAACAACTCTGAGGTACCGCTTCACATCTATCAGATTGGATAATATGACAGAAAAGGAAAATGATAAATGTTGGAGAAGATGTGGGAAAATTGGAACACTAATGCATTGTTGGTGGAGTTGTAAACTGATCTAACCATTCTGGAGAACAATTTTGAACTATGCACAAAGGGCTATAAAACTGTGCATACCCTTTGATCCAGCAATACCACTACTAGGTCTGTATCCCAAAAAAATCATAAAAAAAGGAAAAGGACCCACATATACAAAAATATTTATAGCAGCCTTTTTGTTTTGGCAAAGAATTGGAAATTGAAGGGATGCCCATCAATTGGGGAATGGCTGAATAAATTGTGGTATATGAATGTAATGGAATACTATTGTACTATAAGAAATGTTGAGCAGGCAGATTTCAGGAAAACCTGGAAAGACTTACATGAACTGATGCTGAGTGAAGTGAGCAGAACCAGGAGAACATTGTACACAGTAACAGTGATATTGTGTGATGATCAGCTATGATTGACTTAGCTCTTCTCAGCAATACAAGGATCCAAGATAATTTCAAAAGACTCATGATGGAAAATGCTAACCACATTCAGAGAAAGAACTGGAGTCTGAATGCAGATTGAAGATACTGTTTTCCTTTTTTAAATTTTTGCTTTTTCTTTCTTGTGGTTTTTCCCTTTTGTTCTGATTCTTCTTTCACAATATGTCTAATGTAGAAATACGTTTAACATGATCGTATATGTATAACCTATATCAGATTGCTTGCTGTCTTGGGAAGGGGGGAGGGGGAATGGAAGGGAGGGAGGGAGAAAAATTTGGAACTCAAAATCTTACAAAAATGAATGTTGAAAACTATATTTACATGTAATTTGGAAAAAACAAAATACTATTAAATGTCAAAAAAGAAGTGTCACATAGAAGATGTATTTGAATTATTCTGTTTTAGTGTGGAAGAATTAGGACAAACAGGTTGAAAGAACAGGCAAACATATTTTTACTCACTATAAGGAAGACATTCTCAGCAAAGTGATTTATCTGGAAGTGAAATGGGTTCTAATAGGTTTGAAGGAAGTGGTTCCTAATCAATCTAAGTGTCCATTCAAAAGCTGAATGACCATAACTTTGGGGTGTTATACAGTCATTTTCATCCATTGGGTATACATGGGTAGCATTAGATGACTGACATAAGCACTTCCAATTCTACAAGGCCATAATTTCATGAAAATGACCTTTCTTCTAAAGGCAGTTTCATGATAAAGCCCCTGGAGACTGTTTCATCAAAGTTCCAATACACACTGCTTAAAATTATGCACCATGGGGCAGCTAGGTGGTGCAGTGAATAGCGCACTGGCCCTGAAGTCAGGAGGACCTGAGTTCAAATCCTGCCTCAGACCAAACACTTGACACTTACTAGCTGTGTGACCCTGGGCAAGACACTTAACTCCAATTGTCTTAAAAAAAATTTATGCATCATATAGGGGCATTTTTTTTTTACTGGATTCTCTTCGTATAGAGAAACAGTGAGGTAGCATAATTGAAAGGGTGCTGTGTCTGAAGTCAGGAAGAACTAAGTTCAAATTCAGATTCACACTTATAAACTGTGTGACCCTGGCCAAGTCATTTAACCTGTTTGTCCATTTCCTCATTTACAAAATAAAGAAAATAGTAGCATCGACAGGATCAACTGAGATAATGATTATGAAGTGCTTAGCACAGTGCCTGGAACATAGTAAGTACTATATAAATGTTTATTATTATTAGTCAACTTATTTTGCTTTTTATTTTGAGATGCCTTTTCTTTTGTGAACAGTCATTGTTTTTGCAGATCTATAGCTACCTATTTTAAATATTAAATCAATATTAATATACCTAATATAATATTCTGAGTATAAAATGATCCAAGACAACTTGGAAGGACTTCTAATTAAAAATTCTATCCATCCCCAAAGAAAGAACTTATGGTGTCTGAATACAGATTGAAGGATACTTTTTTTTTACTTTATTTTTCTTAAGGGTTTTTTTTTGGTCGATTTTTTTTAACAACATGACTATTATGGAAAGTTTTGCATGACTATACATATATAACCTATATTGAATTGCTTGCCTTCTCAATGGGGTGGGGGTGGGAAGGGAGGAATGGAGAGAATTTGAACCTCAAAGTTTTAAAAATGAATGTTAAAAATTGTTTTTACATGTAACTGGGAGAAAGTGAAATACTATACAAATAAAAATTTTTTAAAAATTCTGTTTGTAAGATATGTTTTTAAAAAACACTCCTGAAGTAGTTTTTATTTTTAATGAACTAATGCAAGTTAAAATGAATAAACCATTTCAGAAAAATAGTTACACCCTTGTCATTTTCTTAATATTTTCTGTACAATATACAAGAAATATACTAAATATACATTATGCATAGACATACACACATATATGAATAACACCATCATAGACAATAGTTGATACATAAAATATTAAATCAAATCTAGGTTATTCACAATAGTTAAAACACTATTATACATAGTCATAAATTATTGGTTTTTATTTGTACTACATTTCATTTAGCAGTAGAAAATAACAAAATGAAATCTGAAAGCTAAGTGTTTGAAAATAAATGATCGCAAGCTTCATAGCATTTTTATAACTATAGATTTAAAATGGCAGGTTTTGACTGACACCCTCAAAAAACACTATTTAAATGTCACATGCTTTTCATTGAAGAGAAAAATGAAATTGTCTTTTGTTTCCTAAAAAGCTCTCCCTACCAAGACTGGTTCAAATACAAGAATAAGTGAGATGTTATCACTTATACCCATAGTTAGACTGCTAGATATTCCTGAGACAATAAATTAATACATAATAAAAGAAAATATATTACAACAAAGTTCAATGTTATTAGTACATTGAAATTACCTTTTAAAACTGGAAAATTAGGTTGTCTTAATTATCTAAGATGCAAAGACAGTTGAAAGACATTCCCTCACTTAGCTTTAATATCTGAATTGTTAAGTCTTTATAAAACCATTTTCACAGCTGAAGAAGCCACCAGTGTGTCTGATTGGCAGTTTCACTAAAACGTGAATTGCTTTTTATGTTTATTATTTATTTTTCTAAATAATGGTTGGCTGATTTTTGTAAATATAAAAAGGAGTTTCCTTAGGAAAAAAAATTCTCAACTAACTGCAACCCTTCCCTCCTGTAAAAGTACCAATTCCCTGCCCCTTCTCCCTAGAATAAAATGTAGGCTTTGGCTGAAAGTTGATACATTAATTTAAACAAAGAATAATTTTAAACTATTCTTTGCAGAAGCACAATTTTATGTGGTATCTAAAATTATTCCTAAGATGTCATACTTTATTAGCAAGTACTAGTAAATAAAAACAGAACTAGTGAAATACTTGAGCCCACCCTGTGGCACAAATCTAAAGTGAGAAGGGAACTTTGAAATCATTTAGTGCAATATCCCTTCCCCATTTTGCAAATAAGGAAATTGAGTCCCATAGTGATTAATCAACTTGCTGATGGTCAAACAAGTAGTAAATAACAGAGCTGAGGCTCAAATACAGATCCAGCTCCAAATCCTGTGCTCTTCCTACCACACTGTAACCTAACATTGTTCATTCTGCCTGCCATCAGGTTTGCTGGGGGCAATGGCTTTCTTTGGACATGTGAGATTACCCAATGTTCCTTTCTTCTATCAGTAAAACAATCATCGGTGTTTTAGTTTGTATTTGAAATCAATATCATATGTTGGTGGTAAAATGCCCAAACCTACACGAGACTGGTCTAAAGGAGGGCATTTAACTTGACTATCAATAAGCTGCATTTCAAAGTAGGAAAGCATCAGAATTAAAAATTGCTTGATTTCCTGGACAGCAAACACTCTTCCAGGACATAATGTCAGTCCTGATCCAAAGGGCATATAGTAATATTTTAACTTGATGCCATTACAATAGAAGTTTGTCTTTGGTTTTCCATTTTCATTGAGGTAACGGTCATATTTAAAAACCTGCAATCACAATAGAGAAGAAATACCTCAAGAACTAGTTTGAAATAACTTTAGATCATCTTTAATTACACTTTATTGACCTGAATTTTAAAGTTCTGAATTCTGTTTCTCTCTTATTTCATAATAGTAATTTAGTTACTTAAGGATTTTACAATGGAGCCAAACTTATCCCAGGACAAAGGACATATGAGAAAAGATAAGTAATAAAGACTTTTTAGTCCCTCTCCTGTCTTGTCCTTTCCAAGAAGACTGGCTTTCTGAGTTGGATTGAATTAAAAGTTAGGGATCATGACCAGAAGCCAAACGATGCTATTATAGCAGGCAGTTTCTTGGATTTGGGGAATCTGGATGAGAAGGAAAATATAAGATTGGTGTTCCCCATTTTGAACCATTTTAAGGAGAAAGCAAAGAAGTGTCAACCTTATCATCAGTACTATGCCTATGATGGATCTGCAGAATGCTAAATGTCAGGAAGAAAATCAAGAAAAAAATCATCCAGATGTTTCCACACATCCAAACTTTTAGCATCACACAAATCAAATGTCCTGAAGAAATACCTATGCAATGGTGTATTCTCAATTTACTTTGGCCAAGTATCCAGTTTTGATAGTGGCTTTGATGAAAAATTACTTACCAAGGGGTCAGGGTAAATTTCTGGATCTAAGTGCAGCATCTGGGGATAAAGAGCTACTATGTCATCCTTTCGGATATTATAGGATCCCTCCTCTAAGTGCAAAGTGAAATCCTCTTTAGCAACTCGGATGTTCAAGGATGCACTAGAAAGTCGTAAAGCCTCCTTGATTATACTATCTGCATAATAAAGAAAAAACCAAGTCTTTAAAGAACTTACAAGGTATAATCATATCACATAATAAACAATTCAATTCAAGTGTTTTACAGTGACAATAGGGCTGGCTTTGGAGAAATATTATTTGGGTCGGTTTGACACTTAATATTTATGCAGCTATAGACAAGTCATTCAACTTCCCTGGGCCTCAGTTTACTCATCTATAAAAGAAGGGAGTTGGACTAGATAACCTATAAAGTCCTTTCCAACTATGCTTCTACAACCTTATGAAATATTTATTTAGGTCCCACTGTTTGCAAGTCCATAACAAAACTTAGACAAAATAAAAAGCAGATGAACTTAAAAGATTGGGGTTAAAAACAGAATATGACAAGATAGTCAGATAAGCTTTTCCTCAGACTTTTCTGACTCCTCTTTGTTGTTGCTCTGTTACTGATTATTGTACAACATCATTTGGATGGATTTTTGAATCTGAAAATCAAAGTCCAATGTGATTTTTTTTTGATCTTTAAAGACAAAATTCCAAACAGTCAATAGGAATTTGGACTTCACAATCCTATGGAATAATACTACATGGCTACATGTACATTATACCAAACATCTGGATAAAAAAAAATTTAAATCCAGGTAATCATTTGTGAATGTTTATAAACACCCAAATGTTTGGCACTGGGTAAACAAAACAAACTGAAAATTTCCATTTTTATACAGATAGATATTTTGGCATATGTTAACTAAAGCTTGGACCTCTGATATGTTTTAGGTTTTACCAATGAATTTTTGGAGTCATATAGGAATTCTTCCTGCCTAAAGAAGGAAATAAAAGAAGCAAGAAGGAATGGGTAATAAAAAAGGTAAAGGTTGTCCCAGATTAAGTGGAAAAAGTAAGGTCTGACAGACAATTCCTTGCTCTCATTTCATCTGTTGGTTGCCTTTTGGTTGCTTTTGGTTGAAAGTCAAAAGATTTGTCCTTTGAAGAATTTTTGTAATTATTGTCTAGTTCATTGAGCTGAAAAAGATGGAAAATGAAACACTGGGAAAGTCTTCTGTGGCAGTGCAAGCGGTCAGCATACCTAGCACTGGCATGTCATGTAGTTGCATTTGACTCAGGCTTATAGGCTTGCCTTCAAAGCTAATTTTTTGGCCATAATTTTCTAAAGTTTTTCTGACTTCTTCTGTAGCTGTCTTCATTGCCTCTGGACTCCTATTAAAAGCCAAAAGAAAAGATGCATAGAATGTTATGTTTCGTTATACCAAATTGTTTTGTAGATTTAAGTTGGGTTTGGGTTTTTTTTTTTGCTACTCTCAAATATTTGGTCAAAACTAAGTAAATCTTGGGAAAATATGTAGTATTCCCATTTAGTTTTCACTGACTAGAAGTAAATTTGTGACTAGATATGCTTGTAGTAAATATGTAATATAGCATTGTCATTGTAAAGTATTATCTCTCGTAAGGGGGAGGGAAAGCTAAATAGCTTAGGAAAAGGTCTCACTTAAGATTTAAAAAAAAACCTATAAGAATATCATTCTATATGTCCTATGTCATCCTGGTCAAACTTTAAACAGAAAAAACCATTCACTTTTTAAATCCTTATTTTCATCTTTTCATCATGAAAGGAACTAGGCTAGATGATCTTAAAATCTTTTTTTTTTCTCTTTGTAGAAGTCTATAAGTATGAAAATAGCAGATATCCATATAACACTTTAAGATTTGTAACATGCTTTATACCCATTATCTCAGTTGACCCTCACAACAACCCTGAGCTAGTTACTACAGATTTGTTGTTATTGTTGTTGTTGTTATTTTGAAGATGAGGAAACAGAGGATTAGGGACATTAATGATTTGCCTATAAAGTGTTAAAGAGAGGATTTAAACACAGGTCTTAAAGCTCCATATCTAGAACTCAATCCACCATGCCTCACTGCTTCTCAAAGTCTGTGATTCTAAGATTTCATCCAGAATAGGAAATTTTTTGCTATGTCACAAAATTATTATGCGGCACTCTGAATTGCCAGATGGTGACTAACACATAAAAGTTCTCATGCGGCTTCATTTTATGCGTGAGTGCCATGTCAAGAGATATGTGCTACAAAATAGAAGTTGGTTGGCGGGAAATATTTGGCTGAAGAATGTTGCCTACATGTTGGTTGTATGGTTGTAATTAACTGCAGAGTGGTCAAGAGCAAAGAATAATGGATTTGGAGTCAGCAGAGCTGGGTGAAAGCTTTGCTGTGGCATGTAGACCCTGGAGCAAGCCACTTAATTTCTTGGAGCCCATTTTCTCTGTCCTAATATGGGGACAATCAATATAAAGTCTGTTGTCAGGAACGCACTTTGCGAATTTCAAGTTGCCATATGAATGTAAGTTGTTACTTGTATTAATTATACAATATTCATTCTATGATTTTACCATAAAGTCAGTTCTTCTCTCTGACATGAACACAGAATATTTTCATAGAATTGTTCAGGGAGACTGCCAATTTCCTTGGCTAGTAAACAATTATATACGTAAAAATTTATGTTGAATATATTTGAAATATAAATATGTCATATATAAATATATAAAGGGATAATGTATAATATAATAAATATGTAAGGGGATACATATGTATATACATATATGTATATATATTTGAATGTATAAAGAGGAAAGTTTAGCTTCTACAGGACTAACTGAAGGATGATGAGTTATGATAATTATCAGAATGAATGGTAAGATTGCAGGGGATATTTGAGGGGGAAAAAAGTGAAAGCCTGCAAAAATGAAATATAACCCCAGCACCTGTCTGAAACAGTCAATTAATATTTTTGGCTGCTGTTATAGAATGCATCATGGACTTAATGTAGGCACTCCTATTTAGCTTATGGCTCTCAGTCCCTGACTGATGACCTGACAAGAACTCTAAGTACAAGGCTAGGTACTGAAAAGATCAGTTTCCTTATTTTTGCACCAATGATGTTATTTTACCTAATTGTGTGAAATAAGCACCAGAAAGTGGCAGGGAGTGTATTAGCTTGAGCTGCCCAAAGTAAAGCCACGTGAGTTTTTGCCTTATCCATGTCATCAAAAGTTGAGAGGGTGTCATTCAAGAACATACGAGTTGTGACCAGTTCTGAGATATTATTTCTCTTCCGTAGATTTTCATGCTTCAGAGCTTCAGCCAATTTCTCCCTTGCAATGTGAGCATTCTTAAACATGTGGATTGGAATCCCTGCTACCAAGGCTGGGAAGATCTTGTCAAATTGCTTGAAGTTGTTAAGGTTATTTAGGATGAATGTTCTCTGTGCTTCTTGCCTTGTAAGATCTTTGCCAAAGAGAGTCAAATAACCAGCCTCAAACATCACTCTGTAGCAGAAGGAATACATGCCCTCTGTTACCCAGCCATCAGGATTTGTTTTGGAAAGATCTAGTGGCCTCATGACATACTGGAGATTTTCCATCATGGCTTCAGTGAGGGAATTCAAGGCATCCCCCTGCAAAGTTTTAATGAAAGTCTCATGTACATTTTCAGTAGTATTTCCATCACTGGGATCAATGCTTCTGTGCCCAAATGCCTGTAATCAAACAAAATATGTGTGAGAAAATTAAAACCTAACATAACACCTGTGAATAAATTAAATTAGAAAGGATAGCCAGGAGTATTTTGCACACAAAGCATGACAAGCATAAAGTTTCCTAGGTTACAAATATCTTGAAGTTGGGAAGTCTTTAAATCAAAAATCCCCAAATACTCTATAGTCAAATTGATTCTTTTATGAAAGTAAATTATTCCCTGAACATACAAGGTCATTTATTTTGTATAGGTCATAGAATCTGTAAATTCTGATTTTAATTAGAATTTAATAAATTACAATTCAAAAGGCATTACCTTTACAACTTTATTTCTTATACTTTGTGCAACACACTCTACTACAGTTATACTGCTCTAACCTACTGCTTCTTAGACATGCTTTATGCTGGTGTCCTTGTTGCCCACGATTTCCTATTCCCTTGGATACCATCCCTATGCCTCTCTACTTATTATTCTTAGTTACTGTTATTAGTTTCTTTCTTTATCTTGCCAAATTGCTTTGAATTTGATGTTATATTTTGCATTTATTTATCTGTATTTCTCCCAGTACAATGTAAGAGGGTTGAGTCAGTTTTATTTTTACCTATGTATCCTCAGCACTAAGGACAGTGCCAGCAACATTAGACACTACTTTTAGATGTTTGTTGAATTTATTTGCAGCTTTGCCTTCTCTAAGTAAAACTTTAAAACATTTGGAACTTGGCCTACAATGCCTTCTATTGTTAGTTATTCTCTTACGTGTATATGTCTTCTATCTTCAATTAGATTTTAAGCTCCTTGAAGGCAGGATTGCTTCTTTATATCTCCCACCCCACCTAAGTGCCGTATACTTAGCAGACACTCAATAAACTTGTATTTAAGTTTGTTTTTCTTTTTTAATTAACAATCAGGCATCATGGAAATAAAAAGAAAAGAATGTTTTTTTCTTTTTTGTGTGTGTAAGGCAATTTACCTTCAATTTACTTTCTGACTAGGTAAGGCCTGACCCATTATTTACAAGCAGCATGGTGTTGTAGAAAGGGTATTAGACCCAGAGCCAAAAGACCTGGGTTGAAATTTAGACTCTGATGAATGTAGTGAATCAGCACTGGTTCTGGAGTCAGTAAGAACTGAATTAAAATCTGATATCAAACATTTACTAACTGTGCAGCCCCTGGCTAAATCACTTAACCAAACCACTCTCTGTTTCAGTTTTTTCATCTGTAAAATTAGGGTGGTAAAAATAGCACCTGCCTTCCAGGGCTGTGGTATCAAATAAGTTAATATTTATAAAATGCTTTACCAACTTTAAAATGTCATTAAAGGCTTATTGTTCTTATAATCTGAGACTGTAGAGTGAGAACCCCTCTGAACTTCAGATTTCTCATTTATAAAATGGAAAAAGGGCTTTATAAAGCCTTTAAGCACTCTAAAGATGTAGATTATGCATGACAATTATGAAGATATCGAGTAATTCATCATCTCAATATTATCATGGCAAAAAACCCAACAACTCTGAAACACTGGCATGACAGAAAAGCCCTTGTAAGTCAGGGAAAACATCAATAAAAATTACACAGTACTTGAAAGTCTGGAAGGGTTATGGTATGTGTCTGCAGAGAGAATAACCACACTGGCAAAATCACAGGATTCGTATCAGAGTGATCAGTGATATGGTTAAGGAAGATCACAATTACTCCTACTTTGAAGCTTAAAAAAATTAGTGGTAGAGTGAAGTAACTAGAAGGATTTTAGAAATATTTTAATACATGGTAGTTCAGTAATTCAAAAGATTTCATCAACAAGGACATTCCCTACACCCACTAGATGGCAACCACTTCATAAATGAATTTTAAGCTCTATAATTAGGTTTTCATAGCACTTTACATACATGACCACATTTGAGTTTCACAACAATCTGTCAATGTAGGGAAATACTAGAAGTATTACTTGTCCCTCATTTTACAGATGAATAAACTGAGATTGAGAGAAGTGATTTGAACATGGTCATAAATCAGAAGTGGAATTTGAACCCAAGTCTTCCACTGTGCCATCTTTGTAAACTACTATAGCCAAGAAAAAGTTTTTTAAATTATCAATGGTAGGTAGTCTGCTTATGAGAAGCCTTTCCAAATTTGTCTGGGTTGGTCCTCAGATTGTGGGAATTTAATGTATTCCTGGGCCTCTTCTCAAAGACTTTCTACCTGGATGGCCCCTGCTAGCTGCTACATTGCTGTATATAACCTTTTAGAACCCAGAGTTCCTATAATGTTAGGATGAGACATAAGAGAAGACCTTAGTGATTAGGGATAGAATAGCAGTGAGACAGACAACTGGATGTACATAAAGAATATGATAGAAAGGTAAATTGAAACAAAGTTAAAAACTGATACCTTTGCAGAGACAGCAAAGTTAAATTTTTTCCAGTCAAAGTATTTTCCATGCCGTATTACTGTATTGTATGAAAAAGGATTGGTAACAAAATGCACATATTTTCCCATTAGTTTGCATGTAAAAATATGACCATATTTCCTTTTATTTGTCCTGAGAAATTCAAGAGGATTGGCTCCAAACTGCAGAGCACAGCCTACATATGGAATTAGCCCATTGTCCAGAGGTGGCTCTCCTATACACCTGCAATAGAAAAATATACACATCATATAGCTAGTATGTGTTAGAGACAGGATTTGAATCTAGATCTTCTTGACTCCAACTTTGGCCCTTTATCCACCACACCCTGCTTATTTTATATGTTCTTATGACCTATGTATGCATGCATATTATTTTTCATTTTTATCAACATCCTTTATTTTTCCATCACATGCATTGAGTATAACTATTATTAAAATGGAATTCTCACCTTATTAAGACCACTCCAAAGACTGTGAAGATTGTCCAGAGAAAATCTATGGCTTTTAAAAGACTACTAAAAAGGCCTTTAAAAATAAACAAAAGCTAGCAAACACTGCTGTGTTTAAGCACAAAAAGTAAACATGTGATATCAAGTACAGATAAGTCTCAAATGAAATGAACTCAAATGTAATGTAAAAGTAAGACACTGCTTACCTCCTCCTTATTCCAATAATAAGCCACAAGCAAAAGCATACTGCCACAACAATGCCCCAGATTAAAGAAATTGTCAACATTTTGAAATCCTAGAGGTTAACTTCTGAGCAGCTGGAAAACCTGTGTTCAGATGAGTAAGGACATGTTGAACGTAGACCTCAGCATAAGTTTTTATATACGGGAGAACACAGATTCATTAACCTGAACTTAAATGGCCAAAGCAAACAATTTACCACTTGTTCTACCAGGACCTAAAAAAAAAGCATCATCTGCTGGACAGTTACAAGAGTAGCCTTGAACTAAGTCCACAGGTATCAGGAGAGGTTACAAAACAATCAAAGAGATGCAATACTTGATAAATTGAAGGTCTCTCAGAAATATGTTGACCTATCACCTTAGTTCAGACACTATAACAGTAAAGATTAAGTAAATAAAAAGGAAGAACACTTTTTAGGTTGAATTATAGTTAGCAGAGATGTAGAATATAACACTTGGAGTGGGGTAGGCAGTAAATTATTTGGCAGCCTAATGAATTCAATCCTTTGATTCTTAAGGAAGAAAATGTCTTATTTGGCTGACCAAAGAGAGGTTTAGTGGTCAAGTTCAAAGGAAAGAGAACTGAGTGAAATGTGTCTGTATTTCTGTGACTTGTTTTTTCTTCCTTAATGAATTTCTATCATCATATTTCATGTTGCACAAAAATGTTTTGCTTTTATTTTTTTGGATAACTGTTTTTTTTGTAACAAAACATGGTAAACTCTTTTTTAATCAGAATCTTTAAAAAATGCATGCCATACTTCCTGCCTCAAGGATATTTTAAAGCTTCAAAAGGCCTTTTATTTCATAGATGTGGGTCAAACATCTTCCAACACAAATTTGTACCCTTTCATACTGAGGCAGACAATTTCATAAATTGACATGGCCAAATACATTCATAACCCAAAGCCCAAAATGTTACTGATGGGTAACTCAGAGTCATTACTAAGCTCATTAATCATTATATACTCAAATGTTCGACTGGATCTATGATCTTCTATGATTCTTGATCCCCACGACAGTGCAGATCACAGCCCTATAAGGCCTGACCATCTCCATCTTATGAGACTCTAGTCCAGATAATCCCAACAATATGTCACAGAGGGTCTCCCCAACATACTAGAAGTGTTTCTGGCTTTCTTTTGACATTTCAAGGGCACCAACAGGGCACTCTGTCTGTTTGTTTGGCATATCTTACTCTTGCCACATGGCCAGCCATATGTTTTCCCTGTCATACAATTCCTTGATTCCTTTACTCCTGTTATTCAAAATTACTATAAGGCACCTAGGTGACAGTGGATAGAATCTGGAATCAGGAAGATCTGAATTCAAATCCAGCCTCAAACATTCACTAGCTGTGTGACCCTGGGCAAGTCACTTAACCTCTGTTTGCCTCAGTTTCCTCAACTGTAAAATGGGGATAATGCGTAAGATATTTTGCAAATCTTAAGGTGCTATTCAAGTACTGGTTGTTGTGGTTGTTGTTGTTGTTGTTGTTGTTGTTGTTGCTTGCTTATACTTGCCATATGACTTTACCTTCTATGCTTCTTTGGAGGCAGTGGTGTTTCATGTCTCATTGTAGCAACACCAGTAAAATGTTACTATTGAAAATATGGACCTTTGCTTTCATGGAAAACTTGTGGTCAGTAAAAGACCTTTGCAATTTCCCAAAAGCAATCCAGTCAGCATGTTGGAATCTAGACAATAGACATTCTTCATCTCTTGGTCTTTCTTGCATGGATAGACAGGTTAAACTCCTTTGAGTAATTATGGATCTATTCCAGGAGATTCTGTAATGTCCTGGGGTTTGATATCATCAGGAAACTATCATCCGAAGGAGCCCACTTCACTTCATCTCCCAGGAAACCCTCCTCAACATGTTTCTGATCTGGATCTCTTCCAGCACAATGACAAATTCCTTTGGCAATCCTACATCACTCTGGTGTATGCCTAGCCTGATATTTATTGTCAGAGAATCAGCGGACAGAGTTATTTCTGTTACAACATCTTTCAAGGTAATCTCAATGTACGGATGGGAGATGCCTTGCTATTCTCAAATGCTTTTTTTGTAATCAACAAACAATAAGCACAATGAGATCCTATATTCATTATATCTTCCAGTTAATTATAAGAGTGTAAATATGTGGTCCATTGTTAAATATCAGTTGCAAAACCTTGCTTGTTCCCAAATAGGGCACTTAGATGCTACAGTGATAAAATGATTCACTTACAGGCTCTTGTGGTAAGTGGAGCTGTTTGACTTTCCACAATGGGTCCAGAATGCTGTGCTTTTTGAGTTTTGTATCTGCTTCTTAGGGTTTATCTATCTCCAGGTAAACAAGCTCTCAGAGCTATGTCTAAACTAAGAGTTTACTTAAACCAAGTAAAGACTGGAGTGATCCTCTTTCTCTGAGTTCTCTTACATGAGATTTCATGCATGGACTTTGTGATGTTTCTTTTAACTACCCAGAGGACATTTTTCTCTCTTTGTCATTCTTGGCTGCTCACACTTTGGGTGACTAAATGAACTTCTTGTTCAGTCATTTTCAGTGTGTTCTACTCTTTGTGACCCCATTTGGGATTTTCTTGGCAAAGATACTAAAGTGGTTCGTTATTTCCTTCTCCAGACTCAATGAACTACAGAAAAGCAAAGTATTTTTATATTTCAAATCTGTAAAGGCCCTACTTGCTAGAAGACCTAGGCAAGGGATTAGGTTTAACATGAATTTCAAAACCATTAGTAGTCCTCTAATTGCTGCTACATTAGTACTGCTGCTACTAATATAGATAGCTGGCCAGTAGACATAAACTGTCCTAGGTTCCAAAGAGGTATGAGATTTGAGTCAAACAACCCAAGTTGACTAAACTAAGAAAATCATGGCAAAGCAAACCAGGAAACAAACAGACAAGCTCAAATAAATCCATGTCCTAAAGCTAACTATAATAGGTAACCAATATGTAACACATATTGTATGTGGGAGGGAGAAGAAAATAAAATATCCTTTGTCACACACATTTTTATCTTTTGCTTACACAAGCAACTTGACTGAATTAAGTAGTCAATTTAATCAGGAAAAAAATCAATCAATTCTATTTTATCCCATTCTATTCTACTCATTCTATTCTATTCTATTAGTCCCTAAGAACAGAAAACCATTCTAGTCCTAGCCCTGAAGGAGATTACAGTCTAATAGAAGGATATAATGTTCACCCAAATAATTATGATACAAGATAGAATATGACAGGGATATGGAACTATGAGAAAATGTGAGAACCAAGAGTATTCGGAAATGGGGGAAAAGAGAAGGAAAAGAAGATCAGGCAAGACCTTACTAAGAAAGTATAATCTGAGTTAGGCCTTGAAGAATTTCAATGAGAGAGAACATTTTCTAACTGTAACTTGTGTTGCTATGGAGATATGCCTCCTAAATCCACTAGCTACTGAATTTGGGAATTGCGATTTCTGGGAAAGACTCTTTATGATGGTTTTTGGGACTGCTTTGCAGAAATTTCTAAGAGAAAGATGTAGGAAAGTGTGGAGCTGGGTTTTCAGTGAGAGTTCAGAGTTTGTCTTCCATCTTCGGAACATGTGGATGGGCACCGTAAGGTCCTAGCGTTTTCTTCCTCAACTATCTTCTCCTAAATGACTGTATGAGGTGTTACCCCTGTTGCTCCTACTGACAATAGGGCTATTTGTTGTGCTTATCAGACCAAAGTGACACCTGAAAGAAAAGACTGCCTTAAACTGAGATTGAGGATTGGTAAAAATCTCTTCCTTTGTTCCTTTCCCCTGCAAAGGGGACAAGAATAGCTGCCATTAACTATCCCATTCCTTCAGAGTTTTTCCTCAACTCCTTCATGTTAGGGAAAGGAACCTGAAGTATCTAGCTTTCTGCTTCAACTAGAAGTGCTCAATACTAATGAAACCAAAGAACATTTTCCTAGGGGAAGTACTTCCCTATTAAAGAAAAATTTTCTGGGAAAACTGGAAAGAGTTTTAGTAGAAAATATGTTTAGATCAGTACTTATCCCATGTATCACAGTAAACTCCAAAAGGGTAAATGTCTTAATACTAAAGGGCACATAAAAAATAGGGGCTATTAGAAGGAGGTGCATTTAATAGTTATCATTGGAGGAGAATTTATAACTAGACATAAGCTATAGAGCGTTACAAAAGATGAAAATTTTATAATTTTATAAACAAAATGCATCGGCACAAAGAAAATAAATGCTTCTGGAATAAAAAGAGAAACTAGCTACTGATAAATATGTGCATATGTATTTACATCAATTATCTCTAACAATTGTATGTTTCCAAGTTTGTGGTCAAATATTATGACAGTTTTCATAAGAAAAATATAATCTATCAACAAAAAAGTTCCAAATCACTTACAATAAGAGAAATTTCAACTGGAATAACCAAGATATGATGTGAAGTCATACTATCAAATTTGGCAAAAAACTAAAAATAGAATATAGAAATAGAAATGATGGATGTTGTAGGAAGTCTGACTATGTCACCCTTCCCCCTTATTGAATAAGCTATAGTTTTTCCCTAATATCTCTAGGATCAACATAAACTCTTCTGTTTGATTTTTAGATCTCTTCATAAATCTCTTATCCCTTTCCATTCTATCTGGTCTTCTTATGTATTAACTCTTCCACATAATCTATGATCTATGTATACTGACCTTGCTCTTCCTCACCTAACTTCTATTTCCATTGCACTGGCTGTCCCCCATACCTCAAATGCACTCCTTCAGTATTTTGGATATTTTGGATATGCACTTCTTGGAAGTCTTCAATTCTTTTAAGATTCAACTCAAGCTCCATCTTCTATATGAAACCTTTCCTAGTGCCTCCAGTTGCTAGTTCTTGACTTCCCAAAGCTATCTTGAATTCATTATGTACAGATTTGATGTACAGTATGCATATGCATTTACCTGTTGTCTCCCCCAATAGAGTGTAAGCTTCTTGATAAAAGAGACAGTCTCATTTAGATAGTAATTGCTTAATAATACTCACTGATTAATCATACACTGCAAATTAGTCCAAATTACTTTGGAAATGAAGTCAGAATCATGCAGGAAAAATTACAAAGTTGCTTATACTT